AACAACCACGGGCTTCACGTTTTACCCCACAATTTCCCTGGTATACTCTATGCCCTCCCCTGCTATCGCGACTATCAAATCAAGATTGTCAATGGAGATGATCATATCTCCTCAACTATTAATTTGCACAAGGAACAATGCATAGAATTGTTGAAAGCAGTGGATTTCATGCTGAAAAATATCAAAATTATTTTGAAAGTATCCCACTACTCTCTTCTACATATTGACCGAACTTTGTCTTGGTTTGTATTGTTCTATCATTTCATGTAGGTTTTATTACCCAACTCTGCCACTACCTTAGACTACATATTGACCGAAAGGAAGGGTATAAGGGGGTTTGCCCCTCTCCCCCATTTAAGGAATAGATATAAGGTAGGAAAGGTTAGGTTTGGATTTTTGGATTTGCATGATACTCAGAAACTCAGAAACAAATATCTTAGACAGTTAAATTTGGATATAACAGCCTTAAACATTTTCGATTGTACATTTTGACAGTACATCATTGGTTCTTATATTATAAAAATGTTCCATGAGTTGTATGATTTGTAGATGCAGTACAAACAAGTCAAAACTAGAATGAATGGCTAAGAATCTCAGTACTACATAAACCAATTTCCACAACCTTTATCCTATGGCAATTTCCACACTATAAATTCTGGCAAGATGGATCTTAGAGTTGTTCCTTATATAACATTAAACTGGTAAGATCTACAAGCACTATCTTGATAATATGTGGCAAAAAGGCTATGCTGATGCATTGAGTTAGTTTTCCTTTGCACTAGTTTTCTGAAATATAGCAATTAACATAAAAACATCAGGAGATATGATATTGTTCATAAAGTTAATAATAATGATGATGATATTGAGAGCAATGCTGGATTTAGAACTTTTTTTTTGTATCAGTCCATGAGTCAGTGATAACTAGATAGCTAGTGTCAAGGTTTTAAATATCACATACTTCTAATTATAATTTTAGATATAATTTGTGTAGCATATTCTTTAAAATATAAGAAATTTTCTGCAGTCATGAAGCTATTTGATGTAGCCATTGTGTGAACTAGTCAGAAGAAAGTCTGAGGAAGAGCAAAATAATTTGTGCAGCTGATCTGTTGCAAGCTGTTAATACTGTCTGATTTTCATATCTTTTGTGTCAAATGTGATATATGGTATATTGGCTACAATTGCAAATTTATTGTTTATCCAATATTAACATCTATTTGTGTTACACTGGTATATACAGTTATTAACAGTCTTATTTGTAGAACAGATTTTTACGCAAGTTTGCTCTTAATTATTATTGTCTTGAAAAACTGAACTTTATATTACAAACCATCACTTTTAAAATTACGATTGCAGATACAGAATATATGGCGATGATGTGTGAATGTAGTTTTATGTAAAATTACAAGCCTGAGTCCCTTTTCAATTAGGAGAAAAAGCTATAGAAATAACCATATATGGAAGACATCCACAGCATTGATAATTTGCCTTCTGTTGTGTACAAAACTTCTTAAGCTAATAATATAGATTTTAAAGCATAATCATGATCCATATCATCTCAAAAACAAAAGAATATCAGTAACTTGATAGTTTTCTAGAAAAGATCATGGCATGGAACAGAACTGGTACAAACTTGCTGGAAAGGAGATATGTTTATAAACAGACATTTGCTGTGGAAGTCTTTATGATATGCACATTTTAGGAGAAACTTTTTGTGCAGGTTCAAAAATATTGATTTCTGAGAGCTGTACACAAAGGTAAAGAGTACAGTAAGGGCAAAGGAGTGTTTGTTGTTGGAAATCTTCCAGTTTGGGTTTATGCTGCTTAATCTTTGTGCTGTGAAATACAAACTTGTATATATATGTGTGAGTGTGTATGTTTATGTGTACACACACACACACACACACACACACACACACACACACACACACACACACACACACACACACACACACACACACACACACACACACACACACACACACACACACACACACACACACACACACACACACACACACACACACACACACACACACACACACACACACACACACACACACACACACACACACACACACACACACACACACTCACTCACACACTCACACTCACACTCACACTCACACTCACACTCACACTCACACTCACACTCACACTCACACTCACACACTCACACTCACACTCACACTCACACTCACACTCACACTCTCACACACTCACACACTCACTCACACACTCACACACTCACACACTCACACACTCACACACTCACACACACACACACTCACACACTCACACACACACTCACACACACACACACTCACACACTCACACACACACACACTCACACACACACACACTCACACACACACACACTCACACACTCACACACACATGTGTGTGTGTGTGTGTGTATTTTTTTTTTTTTTTTTTTTTGGGGGGGGGGGGGTATATGAATTTAATAGCATTATTGACTGTAGATTCTAAGGATTATCCATGTATGTTAGAACTTTGTAAATAAAGATACAAATAAAGTTTTATTGGAAAAGTATATACTTACTAAAGAGATAAAAGAGACAAAAATGACAAAATACTGTTCTCTTTACTTAATCTTTTCTTTCCTTCACTCCATTAATCTCTCTTTTACTTCTTTCTTTCGTTCCTTGAATTATTTTCCTGCATTTCCTTTATTCCAGTTTATTGACTGATTATTGTGAAAGTAATATGCTGAACAGTTCCAAGTTTCAATTGAGTTATTGTGTGTTTCTCTCTGCGCACAAATATTTTCCTTGTAGGTGTACGGGCATGGAGGCATTCCAAAGGCAGCCGTGAACACTGGTCCAGTTGAGAGGAAATTTACAGAAGATCAAGGTGAGTTGAACTTTAGAGTAATGCTATGGAAGTTATTACTATGAAGATGACATATTTTGTTCCGAGATGCAGTAATTTGAAGTTAAGGGGAAGTTAAACCTTTCAGATGGGAGGAAGGAATTTTATGACTTATTATTATTATTTTTTTTATTATTATTATTATTATTATTATTATTATTAATTTATTTTTTTATTTTTTATTTATTTATTTTTTTTAGATTTTAGTTTCTTTCACATCTTTGCACACACATCTCTCCCCTACCTCCAATATCTTTTCTTTTCTTCTCTAAATCTACCTTTCAACGAAAGTTTACATTTCCACATTTTACATTTCATACATTTTCTGTGTTCTCACTAGGCTTGTAATGAGAGGCAGTGTGCACAACGTAATCCATCACTGCTCACAGAAGGAGCAAAACTCCTGTTAGTTTTTTTGGGGGAGTTGCATGCATAGTGGCCATTATCCTCTACTTCACGTGTTTTATCTTAACTCCACCATTTTTGTCTCTTACTTTTTTCTCTCTTTCCTTTCTCTATCCCCCTTTCTCTCTCTCTCTCTCTCTCTCTCTCTCTCTCTCTCTCTCTCTCTCTCTCTCTCTCTCTCTCTCTCTCTCTCTCTCTCTCTCTCTCTCTCTCTTCCTCTCTCTCTCTCTTCCTCTCTCTCTCTCTCTTCCTCTCTCTCTCTCTCTTCCTCTCTCTCTCTCTCTTCCTCTCCCTCTCTCTCTTCCTCTCCCTCTCTCTCTTCCTCTCCCTCTCTCTCTTCCTCTCCCTCTCTCTCTTCCTCTCCCTCTCTCTCTTCCTCTCCCTCTCTCTCGCTCTCTCTCAATCAGAAATATTTTGATATCCATTTCATATATAGTAAGGGGAAGTGTTTATTTTTGTTTCAAACATTTTGCATTACTACATTTTAAATAGACTGATATCAGATTATGAAGCTAAATAGACTGGTATCAGATTCAAAAGTTTAACCAAAAAAAAGTGTGCAATGTGTATTTCACTATCGATAAAAATATTTACCTATTTTTAATTTTGATTTTTACATTTTATCAATCTATGATTGGCTAACCTGAATATCCAGTGAGTTATTTATTCAGTGGATAAATTGCAGGCGAACTTGTCCATAAAGGTAAATGTATGGACAAGTGAATAGAAAACCAAAAACACTAATCCATTTACCAAAACTATTTACAATGTGTGGTTTATTTTACTGTACCTTTTTTAGTTCCGTTTTCAAAAGTTCTGCATCAGTTATTCTTCACCTGTGCTTGCCGAGTACCATTCACTCACCTAGAAGAGAATCAGAATAATTAAATATCCATGTTTAAAGGTGGAGTAATTTTAAAGTAATTATAAGAATGATTATGGTAATAATAATGATGAAATGCAATAATGATAGCAATTATAAGCCTTACTTCACTAGAAATAATGGATGCTATTTCCAGCCCATGAAAAAACATTTTGCAGTAAATTCCTTTATGCCATTGATTACAAATGCTCATCTGACTTTGTGTAAAACTGGTTGATAGTAATTGTCCAGTTCATGTAAATTTCAAGTCCTTTTGAAGGTTACCCAATTGTTATACTTTGGTTTGTAGTCTGTCCATCATTTAGAGTGTCTTTCATAAAGTATGTAGTTCCCTTTTGTGGTCAGTATGATTCCACCCTTTTTTATGTGTTGAAAAAATTGTTCGTTAACTTTTTTTTTTTTTTTTTTTACTGAGAAATAGTTTAGGTGGTTTATGATAGCTTATTGCAGTATTAGCTTGGATTGTTTGTGGAAGTGATAGCCACCTGTGCAGTAGAATTACTGTAGATTTGTATTTTATTTTGATATTATTTATTAATGTTTTTGTTTATGCATTCAAAGAAATCTTTATGCACGTCTGTGAGGAATATCTGAGATTGCTTGTGTGTTTTTGTGTGTATTTTTTGCGTTAAAGCAGATGTGTGTGTTTGTTTAATTATATCACTTTAACCCCTGTCCCCTCCTTGCCGTTGTGTCTATGACAGGGCTGCTGCAGAGTCGCGGTCCCCGTCGGCGGCGCAATGTGATCAGTCGCATGCAGGAGATGAAGGGTCCCCTGGCCGTCCTCCGCCGGTGCAAGGAGGAGAACATCCGGGTCAAG